CCTAGCACTGGCTTATGGACATAGAAGCCATAGATAAGCTGCATGGAAATTATGTGAGTTTCTTTGTTGTTGTGGGGTTATTTTCCATGAAAGGTACATGGTTATGGTGAATAAGTGAAGTATAATACTGGCAGGATAGAGCAGCTACCCTTATTAGTTTAGGATGAGGATGTCAGAGACAATGCAAAGAAGCTACAGAAATGGAGACTGAAACAACAGCTAAAGATGATCAATGACATTGTTATATAGTGGGATGACTTCGAAATTGTCAAAGACAAGATTTAGATACATCATAAGTGATGATTAACATGGTATTACAACCAGAACCGGGTATTATAACCACGCAAAAGATCTATATTCAAGTTTCACAGTCACCTTTTTATATAAATTTTGCACACAGGAGACACTTGATTGAGAAAAACTGAAAACAGTCCGTAAGAGGTGTGTTGACAACGAGATTTAGATAAATAGTAGTGGCTTTGCTGAAGGTTCTCTATGGAATTTCCTACTAAGAGTGAAAATAATTTTTCCATCTTTTAAAAAGGAACGAGAAATGGAAACAAAGCTATTAAAATGAACCCAGAATTCACTGAATTCGAAAAATTCAACTTGTGTGATTAAGTTTTCCCTAATTATTTAGCTAACAACAAAACAAATTCATGTACTTGTTAGAAAGATGTACCTGATCGAGCAGCTGAAGTGAAACATATTGCACAGGTCCTCTGCAATCAAATATAAAGTTCAAAATCAAATTACATAAATGATTCAGAGTTCAAAATCAAAGTACACAGACAAATATATGATTTAACATTCTTATGATAATATAATAACCATTACAAATTCTGAGAAAAGTAAAATCGATGTTACCTAAGACTTTTATTGTCAAACATCTTATCATTAACTCAATTTTGCAAGTTAGATGGAACTTTTAATGAAAATCATCGATTCCGAATCAATAAATTGTCAAAATCAATAATAGAAATTCTGAGCAGCTGCTGGTCCAGAACGAATACATCCTGACCGCGATTCACGCTAGCTCCACCATGGGGGTCGGCATGAATTGGAAAGATTTATCATCCGCAGCATTTATCACTGATCTCTCTTCCCTCTTTGTGCAACCATTTTACCCTTTTAAATAAAACAACATTTATTAGTCGATATAATCTAACCAATAGCTAGAAGTATAAATAATTGAAATTGACGTTTACTTACTTGTTCATCCACCTCTGTGTTGCGTTGTGTGCAAATGGAGCGATAATTTAAGTTAGTCATAGATAGTGATAACTGACTAAGAAACATGCTATGTCAACTTTTCAAAACTAGATTGCATTGAAATCATCACATTTAATATCCGGTCAATTTCAGAAAATGTAAACACTAAGCCAACCAATAGAGAAACAAGATTTCACCAAAGGAACATGTATGCAACTGAATTCTCCAATGCAAAATTAATTAAGGATTACAAATCATTGAGCTTAAAAAACAAAAAATCATACAACCCACAGCACCATATATCTGAAGTTCAAAAATGAAAAAAGATTTTTCACATTTACCTTCGACTAGTTCGTCCATGTGCTTGCCAACGAGTCTTGCTCGAAATATAAAAATGAAATGGGTGCTGCTTCTTCACGCGTGGGTTGGCCTCTTCACGTGCTTGACAACGACGGGATGGAGTTTGGCTAATTGATTTTATTTATTTGGTGCTGGTCCA